CACTCCTGTGTGCAACCCCCACGCGTGGTCGCGCATGACCTTGCACGACACACACCACAGGCTTTCGGCTGGCCTGCTGAGGCAAGCGACCTACACGACTGCCCGGCTGGGCATGTACTCCATCATCAACGACTGGCTCGTCGCCCGCAACAACGGCAACGCGGCCATCCCCTTCTACCAGGTTCGTTTATTGTACAACATTATAAATTTTATATATTTATTTTTAAGAACATATAAATTGTATATAACAAAAAGTAATAATATGAATTATATTATTGACTGGTGGTGGTGACCGTGTGCTGTGCTGTTGGGGACCACAGAAACTGGTGGCGGGCATGATGGCGGGCGGGTTCGGTGCCGTGATCGGCACGCCGGCCGAGGTGGCCCTCATCCGCATGACGTCGGACGGCCGATTGCCGCCGGAGCAGAGGCGAGGCTACAAGAACGTGTTCGACGCACTCCTCCGCATCTGTCGCGAGGAGGGCGTGCTCGCCATGTGGCGCGGATGTACGCTTGACCCCATCGCTAGTAACACGCACACGCACCCCCGCACACGCACACGCACCACCGCATACACGCGCGCACGCGCGCACGACGCCAAGTATCAACGTTTTTTTTTTTTTTTTGTGCGGTTGGTGCAGGCACGCCGACGGTGGCGAGGGCGATGATCCTCAACGCGGCCCAGCTGGGCACGTACACGCAGGCCAAGCAGGTGCTCATGAAGAATCTGCCCCTCCAGGACAACGTCTACACCCACTTCCTCGCCAGGCACGACTGCGACATCACCAACCACCATGCCACCATGTCATCCTCCCCGCTCACTCTGCTTGTCTCGTATGCGTGTCGTGCGTGTCGTGTCGTGCTGCACCAAACTCCAGTTTGGCGTCGGGTTTCTTGGCTACGGCGGTGTCGATACCTGTTGATATCACCAAGACGCGCATCCAGACCATGAAGACCATCAACGGTGTGCCCGAATACTCAGGCGTGATGGACGTCTTGTCCAAGATCGTCAAGACCGAGGGCGTCACCGCCCTGTGGAAGGGTGTGTTAGCTTTCCCCCCACCTCACAATTTGTCCCTTTTCTGCTGCACTGTGCTGATAACATTCTCCATCATTGTGGTACCAACAGGTTTCACGCCATACTTCTTGCGGCTGGGTCCTCACACGGTGCTGACATTCATCGCCTTGGAGCAGATGAACGCAGCATACAACCGGTTCGCCATGTAGGCTTTTGCGGCCTGCACAGAGGTTTGTGTTTCTATTGAAACACTAAAATAAATGCATTTCTTGCTGAATTTGTTGAATCAGCCAGGACATACACAATGTGGTGTTTTCATGCGTGTTGACTGTGATATGGGACAGTGACAAAGACAGCTGCAGCTGTTGATAAGCATGGCCATTTTGGTGAGGCAGCAGCAGATTGCTCCTACTTCATTTATAATAACACTCCCTCCAATGACTTTTGGATGGACTGGCGTAGCTGTTGGAAGTGATGTTGAGTGACTTTAGCAAGAAATGATCCATTAAGGGTCCGGTCTGCTTTTTGCCCCTCCCACTAGCTCATAGTTTGAAGAATCATCTGTTGGAACTTGACAATGGGGTAGAGAAAAGGGTGTATATTTGATGTATACAGCTCAGCAAGAACTAGAATAAAGACATATATGTATATATGTTCTTTGGTGGTATGTCTCCATACTTTGATGTGTAGAATCTCAACAGAGCCAAATCAAGCTGGTAGAGGACTCAATCCAACACCCTTCCTTCCAACAAAGCCTTGGTGGTCAGGTCATTTCAATCAAATACCTTGCATCAGCTAACCAAACCCCAATCTTGTCAAAAAAAGAAAGTTGCCCCTTGATTGTGAGCTTGGACAAAGGCTGGGAGGGGTCACAAAGGGGGCGTCTTGGAGACAGGCTACAACTTGTGCTCATTTGAAATGAGAGGTCAAAAATGACTGTGGAAATTTTTGACTTAGGTAGTGGTCTAGCATGAAGATTCAGATCCAAATGTTCAAAACTGCCCCATAAGTCAAAAATGTTGGATCTGCATGTGTGATATTGACATGCTAGACCGCTGCTGAGATGAAAAAGATTTCATAAAAACTTGGAATGTGTGGAGTTAAAAGTGCTTTTATCATGTGTGGACCTTTGTTGTGGTGGACTTCTATCTTCAGGGATGGCTCCAATTCAGCCAAATGTGGTGAGGTTGACCATGAACTGGATGTGAGAGTAGCATGTTGGCCACTGATTATGGAATTGATGGAGGGTATGAAAGCAAAGGCAAGGTGTGTTTTGAAGCTGTTCAGAGGAGCACTAACACAAAACAAGGTAAGTTGTGGTTTCCAGATGTGTACATGTGTGTGATATAGTATTCATGTATGCATAAGTGATAAAGTAAGTGTCTGGTTTTATATTTTTGGTTGTCATGGAGATGGACACATACATGTACACAATAGAAATTGGTCATTCCAGTACACCTATGCATTCACCAAAGAGGTGCAACTCACCCTGCCATCAGCCATGGCCAACAACAAGGAACAAAGGAGGTAACTGCCCCCTTGCATACATGCTATTTTCAAAGCCCATTCTCCTCTAAGCCCCACAGATCACATGAAGATGAATGCTGCAACAATTTGAAATCAACTGAATGACAAAGAGCAGCACCAGGCCACCCTCACAGTGAGCAGCCACCTCCTCAGGAGGCCAAGAAGTAAGAGATGAAGGGCACTCTCCACACTGAGATGTACCAAATGGCCCCTCTGAATTGCTTGCGTAAAGAATAAAAATTGACTTTTTGTGCAGTTTTTTCCCTTTTATGGTTTCCATGTGCAGGTGCTTGAGAAATGGCAGATTAAAATACCATCATAATGAGAGAGAAAATGCTGTAACTGGGCCATCAGTCAAGGTACTGGAATTACCAATTTCTATAATGTACATGTATGTGACAACCAAATATATCCTGGCCAAGAAGGGAAAAATTGTTTTGGGCCAGAGACTGAAAGTTGGACTTGGCAAAGTACCAAGTGATACTTGTTGTTTTTTTGGATTTTATTTTTACATCAAGCAAGAAAAGCATCAGTGTGGGAGTTAGAGAGTGAGTCCAGGCAATCAGGGCACCCTTACAGGTGAGACAGAACTGTCACAGATTCAATTTCTTGGCGGGCACTGCAGAAACAGCCGAACTACAGTTCCAATGGGAAGCCAGGTTCCAAAAGAAATGTCCGACTCAACCTCCTGTTGGTCCCATCAGAACACGTCAACCCTGTTGGCAGATTTTTCCCACTCCAATCCTCCGCCTTTCCGGTCACAAACATCGAAAGCACGCGCCCGCCTCGCCCACGGTCCCATTCTCCACGTTCCCACTAGGCCCGCTCCGAGGATGAAACAGGATCACAGGACAACTTTGCTTGTCGACTTTTTCTTGTGCTTTTTCCCGCCAATTCTCCGGCCGTGGAACAAGCGAACAACAGGGCAGCCGCCTTTCGCCTACAAAAGGCGACGGGCACGGGCGCATCTTTTCTCACCACACAAACCCACCACCACCAGCTCTCAAGTACGACCGAGACACCCCACACCCCAACCGACGTAG